ACCAATAAGTAAAGGAAGAACTTAAAATTGTCTAATCAACACACTTCTTCTTCTAGTTATTAAAGAAAGTTGATTATGGAACCTAGGGAACTACCCTAGGATACGTGATTTTTACTTAAAAAATCCATTGCCTAGGTGACGCCTAGGCGCCCCTCTGTCGCCTAGCCTCGACTTGGCGCGTTGAAAACTATGCTCCTAACCTTCTGGGCAATCAGTCTCTTTTGGTCTTTCCCTTTCCTTTCACCTTTTATTAGCAGAAAACTTCAGATGATGCAGTCTCAGGCATCCTTTACTGATGCAGGCGAGTAGGTCGATCAACCAGGCTCTGATACCATGTTATCAGACCTGTATTTAATCCAATAAGCCAAGAAAAACACCTGCAGCAGGCCCTAGAAGAGAGGTAATAGAGAGGAAGAAGAAGAGAAGAAGAATATGAGGAGAATAGGGCAAACAGTTTTAGTCGAATGAGACTAAACTGCCACCCCTATATGTTTATATTCATATTGAAATGAAAATTACAATATTACCCCTGATACTATGATTTAAGAACAGAGACAAAACAGAATTAAAAAGAAAGGTAAAAAGACTAAAATAACCCTAGAACAAAACGTTGTATTTAAACAATGAAAAACTTGAAATTCTTGGTTATAATGACTTGACTTTACATACCTCTTCTTCTTCATAGTTTCATCTTCCTAAGACCCTTCTTGTTCCAAAACTTACTACTAATTTAATTTTTGTTGGTCAACTGGGAGAGGATGGTGACGTAGTTTCTTTTTCTCGTGATGGATGCTTGATACAGGGCTAGCCAACTTAGTGATTTAAAAAGCATGCCTAGGCGCACAAGTGAGGCACATTTTAGGGTATGCGCCTCACCTAGGTCTTAAGGGCAACACTTTCAAAAGGCACACGCCTAGTGCACCTAGTGCACCTTGTGCTTCAGCCCAGGTGCATGCCTTTTGAAAATCTGTGCATTTTTTCTGTTTGTTGTGTTTAGCATCTATGCCTACCTATGCTCCGAAACCCCATATTTTTTAATGTTGCTCATTAATCCATCGTAATAAAAGATAATTTCTAGACCCTAACATGGACTTGTTTGGGCTTGCCTCGAGAGGCTTCGTACAAAGGCGGCTCGTAGAATTAGGAATGCATAATGCTTAACATCACATTAACTATTTGGAGTAATGCAATTGGGAAAAAAATAAAGAGATTAAGAGTTTACATGCCTGAATATGTTTTATATGTTGTGCTTGATTTTATTTTTAAATTTTCATTTTAAATATGTTTTACATGTTATGTTTATGTATTTTAATTTGAGATAATAGGTTTCTTTAAAACATTTATTTTAATACTTAAGTTTATATTTTTAATTATAATGTGTTTAATATTTTGCATTTTTGTGACTTGCTTCAAAAAGGTGTGTGCCTCACCTTGTGCAAAAATGTCCCTTGCACTTTTTTGTGCCTTGCACTTTTTAAACGATTGAGTGAACTGGAACGGTGAAGGGGAAGGAGCGAAGACTGGGACAATTATTTGCTTTGGAGTTCAAGAAATTATAAACTTCACCTACTTCTTCATGTTTACTTTCTATTACTCCTAGTACTAAACTTGCCTACAAAAATAATTAATGACATCTTTGGCATAGATGCCTTTGGCCACCTTTATGTTAAGAAACTTGGAATTTTTATTTTGTTTTGCTTGTTTGTCTTTTGTAGCTACTTCTTTTGCTCATATTGATAGGATCTTTCATTTCATGTGGTTTGTTTGATTAAAGGACATGTTTTAGCTTTTCCATCTACTACTACACACGTCTATTCCTTTTAAGTTGATTCACAGTGATGTTTGGTCATCTCCCACCTCAAGGTTGGGATACCAATACTTTACTATTTTTGTTGATGACTATACTCACTACACCTAGATATATGTTTTAAGACAAAAGTCAGAAGTTTTCACTTCATTTAAACATTTCAGGCCCTTATTAGAAACCAATTTGATGCTACTATTGGTGTGTTTCACACAAACTTAGGGGGAAATACCTCGATGGAGACTTTCAAAGCTATCTGAAGGAACAGGGAATTTAACCACAAAGATCATGCCCTAGGACCCCCACAACAAAATGGGGGTGATAGAGCAAAAAAATGGGCACATTTTGAGTCTTATGAGGACTTTATGCAAGACTCTCATGTACCTACTTCCTTTTGGGCAGAGGCAGAAAGTATTGTTGTATGCCTTATAAACTTGCTTCTCTCTCCAGTTCTTCATGATACATCTCTTTGTTAATTCTTATTTCATCTCCCTCCAAAGTAATCTTTGCTTCATGTTTTTTACTGTGCTTGCTTTGTTCATCTCCCTCTTGAACACACAAAACTTACTCCTCAATCGGCTTTGTACCCTTTCATGGGATAGCTTGCATCATAAGGGGTTTCTTTGCTATGACCCTCAAGCTCAATAGATTTGGATTTCTATAAATGTTGTCTTTCTTGAGAATATTTCCTTCTTTGCTCGTATTGTTAAACTCCCTACTCCTATCTCTGTTTTGCCTTCCATTGATTCTATAGGTATTGTGAACTCCACCTCTACCTTCCTAGAGCCTCTTCGCCAGTATGTAAGGAAGCAATTGGTTGCCCCAGCACCTACACCTCTAACCCTTCTCCACCAACTCATGGTTCCACTCCTCCAAACACTATAAGTACTAATTCAAGACCTTCTTCCTTAGCATTCATTTCATCCTCTCCTCTACGTCATTCCTCTTGTATCTCTAGAACCCTTGACCATTATGGTTTTCCCACCAACCATAGCTCCTTCTTTGTTGTCTTATTATCTATAGATATTCCAAAAACTCATTAGTAGGCTATAGCAGTCCCACACTAAAAAGAAGTTGGATGTAGAAATTTAGGACCTTGCAGAGAATGAGACTTGGGACCTCATCTCTACACCCCTAGATGCCTTAATCATTGGCAGTAGTTGCAAAGATGACCACAAAAGTAGGGGATTGACTATGAGGAGACCTTTGCACCAGTTGCAAAGATGACTACAGTCCGCTTGGTGTTAGCTATCTCAGTAGTGAAACAATGGGATATTCATTAAGTGGATGTCAAGAATGCCTTCCTTAATGGTCACTTGAAGGAAACATTGTTATGAAACCCCCTCTTGGATACTATGATGATTCAACTATGGTTTGCCACCTCAAGAGATCTCTTTATGTTCTCAAGCAGGCACCTCGAGCTTGGTTTGAGAGGTTTCATTCTGTCAATACAGAGGTTGGATTTGTGCAAAGCCCCTCTGATTATTCTCTCTTTGTCTTAAAGTGAGCTAAGGGTATCACTCTTCTCCTTCTGTATGTTGATGATATACTAATTACTGGTGATGAAGGATGTTGGCTCTCTAACTTACTTCCTAGGTCTGGAGATAACTCGTTCCCCTCAAGGATACTTTGTAAATCATTTAAAGTATGTTATGGCTTTGCTTCAGCCAAGGTTCAAAATATCAATACAGGCTAATACGCCGGTAGGGGCGTATCGGCCTGTACCGAAGCTTGCTCTCCCTTTTTTTCTTTGAAACTGGTTCAAAGGGGTCAGTCTAAGGCTGGTCTACCCCCTGAACCAGTTCACACCCCGATATGACCCTTGTAGGGGCATATCATTAAGCCAACGATGTGATACAATACACCTGATACGGGGCATATCGTATCACAAATTTGAACCTTAGCTTCAGCTATCTTACCTCACTGATGAGAAACGGGTGGATACTCCTCTTGAGGTAAACCTCAATCTATCTAAGGATGATGGTGAACTCCTTCATGATTTTACATTGTATACAACTTGTTGGCAGCCTCATCTATCTCACCATGACAAGGCCCAGTATTTCCTATGCAGTTCAAGTTGTCAGCCAGTTTGTTTCTTCTCCCAGACAGCCCCATATGACAGCAGTTCCCAAGATCATTAGGTACATCAGGGGCACCGTCTCTTATGGACTATTTTTCTCATCATCAGCGTCTCTGAATCTGCTATCCTATGTAAATGTTGATTGGGCTTGCTTCCCTGACACTAGAAGATCTACCACAGACTGGTGTGTTTTCCTGGGTGATTCCCTTATTTCCTACAAGTGTAAGAAACAACAGACTGTCTCCAAGTCCTCCCACTAAGGCAGAATATCAAGTTATGTCCTCTGTCTGTAGTGAAATTGTGTGGTTTCAGTCTCTTCTCAATGATTCACCTCTAGACTCCTACTCCTATTCCCATCGTGCAGATGTCAGTGCTATTAAGGTTGCCTCTAATCATGTTTTCCACGAGTGCACCAAACACATAGAGGTTGATTTCCATTTCATCAAAGATCAGTTCATTGCTGGTCTCATCACTCTTCCCCATGTTTTGTGTGGCCTTCAACTAGCTAATATCTTCACTAAGGCTATGATGCATCCTTGCCACAAGTTCTTGGCTGACAAACTGATGCTTCTACCTCGACATCAATTTGAGGTGGGGTGTAGAGATACCATGAGCTAACCAATTGGGAGTACCATTTTATCTTGTACCTTATTGTACAATTTCTTTTATTATTTCTTGTAAATTTATCTTATTTCTTATTTATTTTAGTGAAGGGCACAATGGTCCTTTCACTTTTATGTAAACTTTTGATATATAATGCAAATCCTTTGGGCATATAAACTGATTGACACATCCATTGAACTTCTACTATCTCTTTTGAACGGTCTCTGTCAGGAAAGAAGACAGGAAGAAGTGAAATTCCTCTAACTAAGACCTCATTTCCCACCATAAATAAATCCAGACCTAACTACCAATGATGTCAACAACTCTTATGGCTCCTTAGAAGGACAAGGCCATACCTTAGAAATAACTCTGGGAAAGTTGTCCCTTACCACAATGAAGGAGACATCCTCAACATTTCATATAAAATGTTTGATGTATTACAAGCCATTTCTCCCCTTTCTCTTTCATTCTTTTATTTGATCAGTTTTTCTGGATTCATGGAATAATTTTCAGGTTATGATGAATGCCATGAATGTTCCTTCTAAAAGAAGTACTTTGGAGAGGAAACTTGACAAACTTATACTTGCTCTTTTTGGTGCTCTCTTCTGTATGTGTCTTATTGGAGCCATTGGCAGGTATAGATTTGTTCAGTTTGTTCTCAATTTCCTAAATCTTACTCATTGCTAAGTTTTTTCTGTGTACGTTGGCACATGTCTGAATTTCTGTGAAGTAGCTAACCTTTACTTGGTTTAATTCTGCAGTGGTCTGTTCATAAACCGCAAGTACTATTACTTGGGCCTTGGTGAAAGTGTTGAAGATCAATTTAACCCAAGCAACAGATTTGTGGTACAAATTACTCCTTCCACAGATGTTGCTAAAAGCTAGGATCTTGCTATTCATTGTTTTTTACCAAGACCTTTAGTATTAATTCTTTTTTCTCTTAACAGGTTGCCATTCTGACTATGTTTACGTTAATTACATTATACTCAACAATCATACCTATTTCTCTCTATGTTTCCATTGAGGTGGGTTTCATAACTTATTAGGTTGATGGCTTGGTGCAAGTTGGTTCAAGAAAATATGTCCTTCCTCAGATTTTTCTTGTAATTCTTTTTACATTGTATTTATTTGGTTATAACATTTCAGATGATCAAATTTATTCAATCCACTCAATTTATCAACAAGGATTTACATATGTATCATATTGAAACTGACACTCCCGCACTGGCACGTACATCTAATTTGAACGAGGAGCTTGGTCAGGTCAGTTGATACACTGTTTTCTGTTAATTATAAAAGCTAAAATATACTCCAGAAACTGGAGAAAATATTAAACTTTTGATGCTACCTCCCCCCCAGACATCTGTTATTTGTTCTTATATAATTCCAATTTAAGATTCAAGTAATTGTTCTTCGAGCTCACTTCTTTCGACAGGTTGAATACATATTTTCTGACAAAACGGGAACTTTAACAAGAAACCTGATGGAATTCTTCAAGTGCTCAATTGGAGGGGAGGTGTATGGAGCTGGTATAACTGAAATAGAAAGGGGAGGAGCTCAGCGTAATGGCACAAAAGTTGAGGTAGCTTTGGACATTATATGAAAAGTATAATAGTTTCCTTCTCTTCTTTTCTTAATGGTATTACACCTTTATCTTTTATAGGTACAAAAAACAGTTAGTGAAGAGCATGAGAAAGGCTTTAATTTTGATGATGCCAGACTTATGAGAGGTGCTTGGCGGAATGAACGTAATCCTGATTCTTGCAAGGTAGATTATTTATATTTCTGTCACTGTCTTATCAAGTCTTTGATATGTATGGTGTCAAAATGGTTTTGATGGAATGTGTTACCTACAATGTAGACATTAATTATTCCCATGTACTATCCTGATGATAGTTAATTTTATCATTTTCCTTAATTCATGTATGTTTTCTTAGAAATATAGTTTGTTCTCTTCATCTGTGGACCTTGTTGTGCTCATGTTGTAGGGGAGTTTTTCTAACATCTTTAATGGCACACTGATATAGTTAATTTAATGACCTGGATGTCTTCCGAAGGCTTTCTTTGAAGAAAGCCAAGAAACAACGTAACAAATGCTTTTTTTTTTATTGGAAATGGTAACTTCATTAAAACAATATGAAGATACAACTGTCAACCCCTAAAATAGGGTGTTGAGCCTAAAATAATCTTTATTACAACACTGCTCAGAACAAATTCTCCCTCACAGTCCCTTGTTTGGCTGAGGTACCAACTAGTCCATTAGCTGACTTTGTACACTTGAAACAAGCACCAAACAAGAAAAGGGCCGCAGAAAAGTAGACAAAGTAAATTATTATTATTGTTATTATTATTATTATTATTTGATGCTACTAATAAAAAAAAAGTATACAAGGTAAAAGCACTCCTGTCCATCATGAGAGGTGACAAAAAAAATCAGAAGATTGGTACCTAACAAGAAAGGGGCTGCAGCAAAATCAGCATGATTAGTTGACTTATAACTGTTGGTTTCTGCATTATTTTCTTTTCCTTTTTTCAATAGTTTAAATGGAACATCCTCTGCCATGCAAAATATTTCCTGCAAAAACACATTGTTTTCAAGCTGATTTTGCCCCCTAGTAAATCTCCATGGTGGAACTCATTGAATGGCAGGTTTCTATCTTATGAATATTGGACAGAGGAAAAGTTCTGGTCTCTGAACTGCTCTATGGATCCTGCAGCCCTAGACCCCAGTCTTTGCCATATGCAGTTGTCTTAAAGGAAATTTACAAAATTGAACTATAATTTAGCTAGAAATCGTAATGAAGATATAAGATGCAGGAAATGTAATTGTGTATAAACCTCTGAAGCTCTTAATATCTTCTTCTCCTCTCTTCTTTTTTTGATAATACAACACAGACTGCTCAAGGAGAGGCACGATCTGGTACCTCTCCTAAACAACAACATTGTATTACATCAGACTAGAAAACGAAAATTTACAGAGCTGCCCAGAATAAATGTTCCCTTGAGGCCCCTTGCGTAGCTAACCCATCCGCTATGGTATTAGCAGTTCTACCCACCCACTGAGAAGTAAAAGACATGTTCCTTGAAAACCAATTAACTTTCCTCAGAAGGTCCCTGTAGCACCAAATAACTGAATATGGATTTGTTAGCCAACCCGCAACAACTTTGGAATCTCCTTCAATAAGCAGATTCTGAACTCCTAACTGGTCTGCAATCTGAGTACCTTGTACTGCCACTAGAAGCTCAGCTCTAATAGGATCTCCTATACCCACTGGGCCTGAGAATAAGGCTAAAATATTGCTGTCTTTATCTCTCAGCACCCCTCCTATCCCTGAAGGACCTGGGTTGTTGGCTGCTACCATCAAAGTTCAACTTTGTCCAGCCTTCGGAAGGAGGCACCCACACAGATGGTGAAAGAATGGTAGGATCCATCTAATGGACGCCATAAAGGTTGCGGAATGGGTGGGGCGAATTTCAAAAATTTCCTACCTTCTCCCAACTG